TTTTTATTTTTGCTTTTCATAATTCATAAAATAGTTTGAAACTTTCATGGTTACAAATATATATATATATACACATACATACATACATATACATACACACACACACACATATATACATTATATATACAGATATATATATATATATATATATATCTGTATATATATATTATATACTACACTTTGGTTATCCCTTCATCTGTTCATGGACACTCTGGACTATTGTGAATATTGTTGCAGTGGACATTGGAATACAAGTATCTGTTTGAGTTCCTGGTTTTGAATAGATACCTTAGAATTAAATTGCTGGGTTACATGGTAACTCTGTATTAACTGGACAATCTACTTCCGTAAAGATTTACCACCTTGGAAACGCAAAAGGGATTGCTGTGAGTTGGAATTGACTCAGTGGCAGTGAGTTTGGTTTGGTTTTTTATAGTAACTTTTCGAGGAACTGCCAAACTGTTTTCCACAGTGGCTGTACCATTTTACATTTCCACCTGCAGTGGGTGGGGGTTTTAGTTTCTCCACATTCTCTCCAACACTTGTTATTTTCCATTTTTCTGTTAATAGCCGTCCTAGTGGAAGTAAAGTGGTATCTTGTGGTTTAGGTTTGCATTTCCCTAAGAGCATCTTTTCATGTGCTTATTGGCCATGTGTATGTCTTCTTTTTTGCCCATTTTTAAATTGGATTGTTTGTCTTTTTGTTGTTGAGTTTTACTAATTCTTTAATCTTATCAGATACATGATTTGCAAATATTTTCTCCCATTTTTGATGGTGCACTTTGATGCACATGAGATTTTTATTTTGATGAAGTCTTAATTATCTAATGTATTTTTATGCAGGTAATGTGTGAATTACATGTTTTTTGGGTTTTTGTTTGTTTGTTGCCAACTGTGCAACCCTTCCTGCACACTATTTTCATGAGCATGCTATGCCAATTTCCATGCATTCTATGTTACGTGGGTGCATTATTTGCAAAAAAAAAAATATATGGTAACTTGTCTTTTGTTGTTTGTACTTTTGATGTCATAATGAAGAACCTATTGTCAAAAACAGTGTCTTGAAATGTTACCCCTATGGTTTATTGTAAGAGTTTTATGGGTTTGGTTCTTATAGTTAGGTCATTGATCCATTTTTAGTTAATTTTTTATATGGTGTGAGCTGTGGGTCCAACTTCATTATTTTGCGTGTGGCAATCCAGTTGTCCCAGCACCATTTATTGAAGACACTGTTTTTTCCCCACTGAGTGGATTTAGTACCCTTGTTGAATTCACTTGGCCATATATGTATGGGTTTATCTGTTCATTCTGTTCTATTCGTCTACACGTCTGTCCTTACAGATATTGTTTGGATTACTGTACCTTTGTGTAGTATGCTTTGAAATCAGGGCATGTGAGTCTTCCTACTTTGTTGTTCTTTTTCGATTGTTTTTGGCTGTTTGGGGTTCCCTACAATTTGATGTATGAATTTGAGGACCAGCTTTTCCATTTCTGAAAAAAAACAGTGTTGGAATTTTTATAGTGATTGCATTGGGTCTGTAGATTACTTTGCATAGTATTCATACCTTAGCAATATTAAGTCTTCCAGTTCAGGGACATGGTACTTTTCCATTTATTTAGGTCGTCTTTGATATCTTTCAGCATGTTTTTTATAGTTTTCATTGTACAAGTCTTCATAAAGACTTGTTTAAATTTATTCCCAAGTATTTTATTATTTTAGATGCTAGTGTAAATGGAGTTGTTTTCTTAATTTCCTTTTCACAGTGTTCATTGCTGTTGTGTAGAAACCCAACTGATTTTTGTGTGTTGATTTGTACCCTGCTGGTTGGCTAAATTCATTTATTAGCTCTAGAGCTCTGGTAGTGTAGTGACTAAGGCATTTGACTGCTAACCAGAAGGCTGGTGGTTCAAACCCACCAGCCACTCCTCAGAAGGAAGATTGGGAAATCTACTTCCATAGTGATACCACCTTGGAAACCCAAGTAGGGGCTGCTATGAGTCGGATCCAACTCGACAGCAGTGAGTTTGGTTTTTTTGAGTTTAGTAGCGTTCTTGAGGAATCTTTGGGATTTTCTACTTTGGGGATCCTATCATCTGTGAATATAGATAATTTTACTTCTTTTCCAATTTGGATACCTTTTCTTGGCAAATTGTTTTGGCTAGAACTTCCGGTGTAATGTTAACTTAGTGGTAAAAGTGAGCATCCTTCATCTTGTTTCTGATCTCAGGGGAAAAGTTTTCAGTGTTTCACATTGAATATGATGTTTAAAATACACTTCTAAAATTCTGTTAAGTTCAGCAAGCTAATTATGTAAGTTTGTTGAAGAAAAGGCGGTAATTCTTTGGCATAAAATTGTATCCCATCTCAAAGAACTGTGTTGAATGTTAGATTGTATTCCAGATATAAGAGCTAGATCTCAAGGCAAGGAAAATGGCTCCAGGGGAAACATTGATATATTATGTGATGTAGTGCCTAAGGCACTCGACTGCTAACCAGAAGGCTGGCAGTTCAAACCCACCAGCCACTCCTCGGAAGGAAGGTTGAGTAATCTACTTTTGTAGTGATGCTGCCTCAGAGACCCAAGAAGGGGTCACTATGAGTTGGGTCCAACTTGATGGCACATAACAACAACAACAACATTAGCACTTTAGGAAGTCCATAGACTGCCCAAGCCACCAGATTCTTCACCTATAAAATAAAAGCATATTTGACCAGATAATTTCTAAGGACCCATCTGCATCAGCATTTATAATCTACATCATTTATGACTTGTGACTTGTTTCAGTAAATGGCCCTTTTCAGTAAATGGCTCTTTGGAGCTTTAACTGCTTTGGTTGCTATTTATTGGTTACCATCAGGTACTTCATATAAATTCTTATTCAGTTCTCACATATCTTGGGGGAGGGTATTATTTCCATGTACCAATGAGATAACAGAGATTCTGAAGTTAGCTAACTTGCCCCAAGTCATACTGGTAATGTTTACTGGGAATAAAATTGGAATCTAGCTCTGCCGTCCAGAGACTAACTTTATCTGTAGAGTAATACACCTTCAAGAAACACTAGGCACATGCTTTGCTAAACTGGAGTTGCTTAATCAAGATACCAGTAAAATCAATTACCTGGTAGCTTATAGGTATTTGAGTACTTGAATAATTCCAAGTTTTCACAGTCCCAATAATCACAGTAGTTGATGCTTGTAGGTCTTTAAAGATATATGACACACTACACAGCTCAATTCCAGTTAAGTCCCTAACTTTACCCAGTGGACTATACTATGTGACTCTCTCTCACTCTTTTAAGATGGCAAGCCAAAAAGATTTGGAGAGAAGACAAATGGAAATCAGTGAAGCAATGAGGACACTTAAATCTGAGGTGAAAGATGAAATTAGAATGAGCCTTAAGAATCTCAACCAGTGTCTTCCAGAACTGCCAGCAGAGCTGGAAGCTATTTTTGAAAGAAATGAAAACTTAGGAGAGTTGGAAAGCTTGAAAGAGAACTTTCCATTCACCTTGAGTGAAACACCATCACTCTTTGAAGAGAAACTGAACTTTTCCCAAGTTCACATAATGGTAAGGGTTTATCCTACTATTCTTTGGGCTATGTACAAGGAAAATTTGGGTTTTTGAAAGATTGGTTCACACCCTTCCCCAGATAAGCTTGCAGGGGGAGAACAGATTTGAGGATGGTAGGTTAGGAGGAGGGAAAGACTGGTTGGTTACTGATATATCCCTTTTCCCTATGAAAAAGGATGAACAGTGGCGTGGGGAAGCACTCCGAGAGAAACTGCGTCATCGTGAAGATCGACTCAAGGTTGGTTGTTTTTTTTTTTTTTTTTTAAATAACAATATGAGATACTTGGCACATTGCGAAGAGTGAGAGAAATCTCTTCTCCTCACGCCCTGCCCTCCTGCTGACTCCATTGCAGCACTGACAGCACTTTTCTAGATCACGTGGTGGCAGCTCAGAGAAGCTGGCATCACACAGTCAGTCAGCGGCAAGGGCAGTGTTCTTTCGCTTGTGTAATATGCTTCGCCTCAGCTAAAACCGGTGGAGCCTAAGTATTTGGGACAGGAAATAGAGATACAATGATAAAAGGAAGATCACAGGCCAGTGGTTGGGGGAGTGGTTGGGAATATTGGAAAAGCAAACTTGGGCGTCAGATCAAGTAATTTGGCCCAGAACACACTGCGTTTGAGAGCTCTATTGGCCTTCAGGGATATATATCTGTAGGCAGTTGAAAATAGGAGTCTGGGATTTTAGTAGTCAGCATTGATCTTAAGAAGGGGCTCTGGTTGTGTAGTGGTTAAGGCATTTGGCTGCTTACCAAACGCTGGTGATTCGAATCTATCAGCCACTCTGAGGAAAAAAAAAATGAGGCAGCCTGCTTCTGTAAAGATTTATAGCCTTGAAAATCAAATGGGGGTCCTTATGTATTAGAATCAGCTGGATGTCAGTGAGTTTGGTTTTGGTTTATTGACTTGAAATTTAGGTGTTAACATAAAGATTCCAGAGTAGTTAGGGTAGGATTTGAAATATAAGAGTGAGCAAGATCATCTACAGAGCAAATGTAGAAGCAGCAGCTAGGACCTGAACATTTAAATGTTGTTATAATTAATTAATTAATTTAAAACTTAATAGCCTCTCCAGCCACGTAAGGCTGTTTAAATTTTAAATTAATTATAATTACACTTAAAAATTTATGTTCCTCAGGTGCTACAATTCCATCATCAAGAAAGTTCTGTTGTACAGCACTGCTGTGGACTTTTTTGAGAAGATCATTTCAAGGGAAAGCTAGAAAGTAGACTGGGGTTGATTAAATAAATAAATACAAAGTGAGGTGACACTGAAGATATGAAGCATAAACTCATCTTCTAAATCATGGCAGAAAAAGAAGAGAGAGATGAAGCAGTAATTTAAGGGAGAGAAAAGGGATACAGAAATTGTAAGCATCGTTACAAGTGGAGAGGACGGACTGAGTTAAAGGCCCAATTAGTGACAACAGAGAGTGGTGAAAGTTGATGCTTTGAGATTATCCATCTGGTACCTCCCACAGTATTTTTTTTAAGACATGATCATTTTCAGCAACCATTCCTACTTTCTGGTAGTGAAATCTGCCTATCAGATGTTAAAAATGAGGAAGCTGAGTAATAGATCTGGTGTATTTCTTTTGTGTAAAACCCTGAATTATAACGTTTTCAGGCTCAACTTCGACGCTGCATGTCCAAACAAGCAGAAGTGTTAATTAAAGGAAAGCAGCAGACAGAAGGCACTTTGCACAGTTTGAGGAGACAAGTTGATGCTTTAGGGGAATTGGTCACCAGCACCTCTGCAGATTCAACTTCCTTGTCGCCCAGTCAGTCTCAGCTGGAGTCTTCTCTTGCTGAAGACTTTCAACTTGGACAAAACCAGGTAAGAGGAAGCTACTGAGGGTTTTGATACATTAGAGTAGTGGAAGGCTTTGTGGTGTTTTCTAGAATAGACTTAGAACATAAATCCCACCTTCCAGTCTCTGGAACTTGTCTTAAGAAAGACTTGAGTTTTTTTGAGGTCCCAATGTAGAAGGAAGGGTATCTGGTGGCACAGTAGTTAAAGCATTCCGCTGCTAACCAAAAGGTTGGCAGTTTAAACCCACCCAGCTGCTCCACAGGAGATGAGGCAGTCTGCTTCCAGAAAGATTTACAGTCCTGGAAACTCTGGGGGCAGTTCTGCGCTGTCTTATAGTCAGAATCCATTCGATGGCAGTGGAATGCAGGGGGCTTGGGAAGTACACTAGAACTGGAGAGTGGATGACTTGTCACGGATCTAGTTAAGTCCATTAAGGTTCTCCACTTCCAGATTTCTTTGTTGTCTCTTTGGTCATTAGACCTGTGAGGCCAATTTGATAGTCCGCTTAGTTTGTCTTCCTGTTTCTTGGGGAAAGAGGATAGTCTTTGCCTCCTGTTAATTCCTCTTAACTCTGAAAAACAACTCTGAATTTTACATAAGGTATTCTGTGTGAAACTTAAGTTAGTAAACTAATTTAGGAAGAACATGAAATAAACTCATGAAACAGGTAGAGAGTAACTTGGTATTACTGACAGATTATAGCTGCCATTTTTTTAGCTAACTGTGTGTAAGTATTATGCTAAAAATTTTACATATATTATCTCATTTAATCTTTACATACCTGGGATAAGGTAACTGTATAAAATAATAAATGATTTGGTCAAGGTCACCACAAATGACAAAACCAGGACTTAGGAGCTAATCTATGTTCTTTACAGTATATTACAATGATTGACCCACAAGGAACATTCAAGGACAGTTGCCTCTGTTGATAAGCTTCAGGAGGGCAAGCAATTTAGGTCACAGCTAATTAGAAGCAAAGATTTGAATATGGTTACCTAACACGTTCTGTGGTGGAACCCAAGTCAGGTAAAGGCCAAAACCATCATGGGCCGTGAGACGGGGCTTAATGCTTTTGTGACCCATGGGACATACAGTGCCCACTTACATTTTCCACCTCTGGGGTTGAGTACGAAGTTGCTATCCAACTTTTAGTGCATGCTGCCTTCTGGTAGGGGCCTGTACAACTCTCAAGAAACAGGCTTAATTTCACCAACCTCAGTACCAGAGACCTGTTGGTATATATGTGTCCTACTATTTCTATCAAAAAACATTACCTCTTTTTTTTTTTTTTCATTTTGTTCACAATAACTTCCATTACTGGAAACATGGCTTTAACAAAAAATTCCAAGAAGGATATAGTTCTGTTAGTAAAGGGTTAAGGAAGAGAGAGGCACCAAGCATTGAAAAACTGGTGAGCTTTTGGGGGTGAGATAGCCCCGAATAGTGGAAGAAAGTGTATAGTCAACTTTGAGCCACGTTCAGTTATCAGCTCAGGTGGCATCTGGAAGGGTGAGTGCAGATGCTCCAAAGGCAAGAGGAAAGCAGGAGGTGTTAGGGCACAGTGGGGAAGAGGTCGAAGTGTTAAAACCGTTTCACAATCTAGTTTGTAAGCCAGGCCTGTGTGAGATAAAAAGCCTCTACTGTGTTGGAGTTAGGGGACTGGTTTTTAAGTCTAACTTTTTATCTTGTCTTTTCAGAGCTCCTTCCACCAAGTTCTACCAGCTCTTTCAGAATCACTAGACAGTTACCTACACTGATACCATTCCCACCTTCCTGCTCACAAGGTATGCATGTTAAAAAGAGATCTTTTAACTAGCACTTTCAACTGGAAGATCTTGAATGTGAGCTTATCTTACAAAAAAGTATCTTTAAAAAAAAAACTTTTAATTATCTTAAAACCTTTTTCCAAAGAGGTGCTCAAATACATATTTTACCTATTAATCATCACACTGTCATTTAGTTCTTAGTTTATTCATAACCTGTTTTTACTGTTGCCAAGTATTTAATTCATCCTGTCTACCTTTTAGGAAAAGAATGGCTCAGCTGTATGTGGAATACTGTCTTGCATAAATACATGAGGAAAAAAAATACCTTCTTTACTACTCTTTACTACCTCATTAACGTCATAGTTGGAATATCCCTTGGTTTTCAGCAAGGTCCAGTGAATTCAGATGCTAAAACTCCACTGTAGTTTTCTTGTACCATTAATACCAAGGTTTTTGTAAATCACTTGTATATATGGGAATAGTTGTGTACAACTTACACCAGGGTCCTAGGTGGCTGAGGTTGCACCTTTGGAATGTTTTTATATTACCAAAAAAAAAAAAAAAAAAAAAGCTGAATTTTAACTCCATGTTTGAATATATAAACTGGTATAGTGACAAAGAAGAAAATGTTCTTAATTTAAACTTTTCATTTATGTAGTAGCAAGAGTTATTTTTGGATTTTGCTTAAAATCTTATTTTCTTATGAAAATAAAAGATAAAACAAACTTGGGTCTGTCATCTGACTTTGTACTTTCACAGATCAATCTATTATAAAGCCTGGTAAATTCTTCCCTTAATTCCATGAGAATGAGTCTCCCAAATGGTCTTCCATCTTCAGCCTGGAGGTTGATGTATGTTGTACTTACATATGAACATATTTGATTTGGAAATATCTATGATAAAATCATTATACTGTACATGCTTTTCCTCAGTCAAAAAAAAACACTAATTTTTTTTGGAGGAAAACTAGAAAAACTTTGTACTTTGGAGATTCTGACTACGGTAAATTCATATTGTGTATAGACTTAAATTTTTAAGTAAGAGCTTAACTCTATAATCTGTACATTATTTCTTTTAAAAATAAGGATAACAACTGTCACAGTAGTTACTTCCAAGGGTTAACTATGAAGCTACTACATGTAATAGATGAGGTTTTAAGACAGTCCCAGGAACTTGTTTCTAAACCACTAGGCAGCTTTTGGAGCCAGAGCATGCATTATATCGTGTTACTGTAATGCAGAGTAGCACAGAACAGTAAGCCCTCAACACATACTAAGGTTTATAGTCCTAAAAAATCATTTGGCTAGAACTGGACCATCAAGATGTGGAATAAATGTAATTATAATAAAAACAATGAAAATGGCATACATTTTTTTTTAACAGTGAGTAATTTCTAGAAGGCATCTGCTTCCGAAAGAAAAATTAACATATGTTTGTTAGTGTCTTTTGTGTTTACATTCTCCTTTATTTTCTTAAGTACTAGAAAAATGCTTAAAAATCCTGGCCTGTTCACAATTACAGAAATCTTTTAGGCACATTTTTTGGGCCTATAGGGTATCTTCACTCTGTACTGCCATGTGAACAGGAATTATTGGTCTTCTATTGAAGGGGACTGAATTGAACCCTTTGTATATAAAAAAGGCATCACAATCCCCTGAGACTGTGGTCTTTAGTCATGCTTTGGGCCTGGAATGGAACCTCCCGTGGCTTCCAGCCAAACAATAGGTGTAAAAGGTGAACATGTACACCAGGTAGGTATACTCCTTAGAACAATCAACCATGGGAGAGCAGAAGAGATAGCTGAGAGGGCAGGAATGCATAGAAAAGGAGGAGGACACAGGGAAAAAGTAACCACAGGAAGAAGTGGAAAGAGAGCTGTTACATTATGAGGATTGCAATCGATGTCATGAAACAAAACTATGTTTAAAAAAAAAAAATCCACACTGAGAACAGTGGGTGAAGTTATTAAAACCTGTGGTCTTATGGAATTGGAGATGAAGTAATGTATGAAGCTGAAAACCTGGTTTCAAAAGACACCTTTCCAAAGAACTTTAATACTTTACTACTCCGTTGAGTTACGTGAGCAACAGAAATTAAAAAAAAAAAAATCAAGAATACTGCATCAAACACTTTATTGTCCATGAAAATTACTTGAACATTTCACTGGAATGTCATCTAATGCATAAATAGGACAGAGCACCAACTGCTAATCAGGAGGGCCTCCTCAAGGTGCAAGGGCAGTGAGTAACCTAGAGAAGCAAGTGACCCACACAAGCAGTAAGCCATCTGGGTTAAAAATTAAGAGAATGTCACATTCTCTCCAAAGCATACTGGCCAGTGCCTGGCACATGGATATTACAATAGACATTTGCTCCTCTAGAGTTGAGCACCTAAGTTTATTTCAGGGGACAGCACATGCAAGTAACAGAATCTGGTCCCAAGTACAGTCAAGGGAGATCAGCCACCAAATGTGCTGACTTCACACTGAAAAAGGCTGACTGAAAACATATTGTGTAATCCAAAAACATGGATAAAATTGTAGCTCAATACTTACTGATAAGGTTTTATGTTACATACGCAGACTTTTCTTTATGTAATAAGGACAACTGTGCAATGAAAACTAACATATCAAATGCTGAAGAAGAAAAATCCTATTATAGTTTAGAAAATAATGCAACCAATTTTAATCTAGATACAGGTACTTTATTTACAAATATTTAGATTAATAGCATTTTGTTACATCAAATGAAGAGTACAGCAGTCTGAATAAATCCTTCTGTCACAAAAACTGTAAGACCCACTGTAACTAACTTTGGGAGTCAGGGTATTGCACCAAAACAAGCTGCAGTCTTTAGTCTGTGATTGCTACCTTATATCCCAATGGGTGGGTGGTTTGTTTGTTTTGTTCTGTAAATATATACACATACCAGCAGGTCATGGTCCCTGGGCAAGTTCTTTGTGATGCAACAGTGTAAGCAAAATGGATCACTATAAATCTTTAACAGAACATACCAATGTACTTAAGGAATCTTGTTTTAAAAAAGCTTAAAGACAAAAATAAAGATGAGCCCACAAATTAACCAAATCCTATTTTCTGCACATTCCAGTTTTGGCTTTTATTTAACATTGACTATACAATACTCTGGTACTACCACATGTTTACAACCCAGAAAGATGTACTTTTACTTTAGTGTCCATAAAGAGGGATTTAAATCATGTATTTTAAACACAGCAGTTGAGCCAAGTACATTTTGTATAATGTGCTGATGTTTATTTCAAATGTCTCTCTTCCCAGTCTCTGAACCATAAACTCAGTATCAGTAAACAGCAGTAAAGAACTTGATCAGACATTAAGTTTGTTGTCTAAAGGAATCAAACTGTTTCTCTTAAAATACAGTATTCTTGCAGTGGCCAGACCACCTAATGCAAAGCTGTAACTTGTATCAGCAGAAACACCACCACCTTTAGAAACACTTTCCCTTTCACAAAACAATTTATGCTAACATAACATAAACTTGACCCTTCATACTATGAACACAAAAGATAAACTATTTCACTGAAGTGTAAAAAATGCACAATTTAAAACCCCTTAACAGCAGACCTGTGGTTCTGGCTGTCAGGTTCAGAATCTGACCATTCCAAAAACATAAAAGGTATAAAAGCTTAAAATGTGCAACAATAAACCCAGCCTTATTTCTTTTCTATACAGTAAGGCAAGAAATGCAGCCTGTAATGCAAAACGTTTCCAGAAAGAGAAAAGCAGGTTAGCACATTGTCGATTGCACAAGAACAGTTTAAGAAAGTCAGCAAGTAAGCCACAGTGCAAAGACGGAACAGAATCTGCTAGTGTTAATCCTCTCTCGCTAGGAGCTCTTTCCAGCATGATGTCCCCAAACACTGCCAGCACCAAGGAGTGGAGCCAGTACTATGAACTGCAGGTGTGTCTACTTCCTTTTGGGAAATGGAAGGGAGTAACATGGTCACATATAGGTCATACTGTACAACCTGGTACTTTATACTGTTCTAATGCCAGTAATCAATTTATTTTCTTCATTAAAATAATATACACAGAATGTATTGTTAGTTCGGTTCCTTCAAATTTTATACATATTTACTTTCTGTTAAAAGGATAAAATGGTGTTTAAAAAGAAAAAAAGAGAGAAAGCTATTAATAAGCACAAGAGAAAAAAAACAGGGTATTTTCCTTACACAAGGCTAAGACAAGCAAACCTCAAGAAAAATGCCACCCACACAACAGGGAATTTGTCTGACAAAAAACAAAACAAAAAAAGCAGTTAGACAACCCCTTCTTACCATCAGAAGTCATTTCACAGCAAAAACCTTATTGATTATAACAGACATACTCGGAACAGTTAAAGAGGGGAAAAAAGGCTTAAGATATAATAAAATCAAACCATACAGTGAGACAAAGGCCTTGCCAAAAAAGAGGGGAGGGGCAGATAAAAATCATGAAGTCCAGCATCAGTGCTCAGTTTAAATCATGTATTGGTGACATACCTATCACGCAGACAGTCATGGGGGAAAAAAAGTCTAGATTCACCATGCAGGAGAGATTTATAATTCTACTTGCCTTTGATAACCTGATTACATCTAGTTGTTTAGCAGTTTAGTATTGTGTTAAACTGTTTTTACAACAGAGTTTTTCTTTTTTCTTTTTTTTCCTTTTTTTTTAATTAAACCCAGTAAGATGTACAGAAGACAGTGAGGCAGTAAAAAGTACTGCTTCCAACAGACATAGGTGAAAGGTCAAATAAGGGGCCACGGGCAAAGAGGTCACTAGCAGCCACAGCCTTCTCTCTGGGGTTGGGGTTCACTGGTTAGCCGGCCTCCCTGTGGGGCTGAAGGTTTATGTTGTACACCAGACTCGGCAGCATTCAGATCCAGGCTTCCATCCTGAATATTCTGATAGATTTTCTTGGCAGCCTCAAGGAACGCATCTTCTACATTCTCTCCCCTAAGAGACAATTAACAACTTTATTCAAGAACCACAGCTTTCTACAGAAGATAAGACATTACACACTGACCTTTAGCTAAACTTTAGTCAACTGCCGTGATGTGTTGTACTTAGCCACTGTTATCTAATAAGAGATTACCAAAAGACTGGTGGGCTAAGAGAACAACATGGGAAAATATTTTCTGTGGAAAGCATATACACATGATACATGGCTGTTTCTACAAACACAAACTCTATTTGGATAATTATATGTCTTCTAATCATTAAAATGCTATACATTAATAAATAAAACATGGGAGTTAACAGGCTATTTGTATGTTATCAGTGAATACTCCAAAGAGAAATATCTCTAAACAGGAAGAACAGGATTCCAGGATTTATATGAATAGGCATGAATTGTGTTTTTATTATGTAATGGTGACATACTCGTGCTTAGCCATGATCATACTTTAGTTCCCTTAGGATTAACAGCACAAATGGGACTAAACTATAAGAGGCTAGACTTCTTTCATCCTGCAAGGAATTTTTGGCCCAGTTAATGAGGAACTAGTAGGAGTTCTACTAGGGTTCAATATGGACATGGAGAACAATTAGAAAGTGTTCATGCTTCTGACTACTTAAGACTCTGAGTATTTCCTTATGCCATGTTTCATCCATATGATCATCCATATGATCAGAAGTATCATATGAACAAGCTGACGAAGCTTGGCTCTGAGATGCCAAGCTCAACCTTGGTTGTGAAAGTCAAATACTTTTGAAATAGTTTCTTTTAACCTGGGTTATATCAATGGGTACAAAATCAAGGTGCATTTTTTAAGGTTAGTTAACAAAAATTACTATTCTTTTAAAATTTGAGACAAGAAGTAAAGGTCTAGTCAGTTACTATTCTCCCTGCCATGTACACTATACATTTAAATTAGAAATTTCTCATAGAGAATAAGAAATTTCATATTCAAGGTTCTACTCAAACTTGAATGTAATCAAAACATAATCTACATCTTAGCCATACTTACGTTTTTGCACTTGCTTCAAGGAACAATAAGCCTACAAATAAAATTCACACTCTGATTAGGGCACTTCAAATTAACTCACAAAGGCATTCTCTTCAGCAACATCTAAATAAAAGTTTCC